ATTGAAAATAAAAACTAATTAAAACTATTAAATTAACTTAGATGTTTTAAAATAATCACCTGCCACTTTTTGGAAGAAAATGTAATCATTTCATTATATATTTATTATAAAATAAACATTATATATATCGGCCCTAGCAGCTTTAATAACGGATGCGACATGAAAATAATTTGAAGCTGTCATCGATTATTATTAAAACTCATTAGTATTTATGATTATTGTTAAAAGTAAAACGAAATCAAAGATTGTTTAAAAGGAGAATAGAACTACATATGTTTGAATCTTGATATAAATATGTTTGACGTCTGGATGCACGACAGCAGAGTTCAGTGAGTGTGTATCATTGAAGTATGTGATTATGAAGAACCTTCGAGAAATACAGGAACATTAAGAACAATTGAAGTTTCATTTTAAAATATCATGGAACGTTCTAGGCGAAATGACTTAAGTGACGTCAGCGTGGCTGGCCTCTCTCTCTTTTAAAACAACGAATTTGTAATAAATGCGATATATATTTTATAAAATACTGGCCATTCTTGTTCAGTTTACACTACCAAATAGTATTTCCTTCCCTAAACTTTCTTCTAAAGGTCACCTCATTAATTTTGTTTTCTAAATATATATACAACTAAAAGGTTCATTTACAGAATAAATACAATTAGCAGTATCATAGTCTTAAAGCCCTATTTTGAATAATATAATATGAATAAATTATTCTCGGAAGATCCCAACCGAATGTTATACGCTATCATTACAAATCACATGTTAGTTGTATTACAAAACTTTTTTCCGTTTCTTTAGTGTTACTACTCTGGTTTCAGTAAAATAACAATCTACAACATCTTGCTTTTATTCACTAGACCCAGCTCAAAAAACGACATGTTGAAATGAACTTTAAGTGCTAAGCAAACTAAAATATAATAATAAATACACATTTTTTACAATTATTTGGTCAAAATGATAATATTGTACATAAACCGCTGTCACAAATTTATAAAACGATCTCCCTATATTTTAGTAAGTTTATTTAAGTAAGTTTGGTAGAACAAATAATTATTGAGCTCTTAAAAAATTTTATCTAGAAGTTTATTAATAACCTATGGAATATGTTTCAAATGGGCTCTTATTTTCCCATCTCCAGGGTTAGTAAAATGACGGCTCAAATTTGGTGTCTAGACCATTTAAAAACTCAGATTTAATAAAATTTGCTCTCTCAGCTAACAACGAATTTTTGAATAGGACTAAAACAATAATTAGCAAATAATAAAACAGGTAGATAAATATTGTTGATGAAGTATGCTCGCGCGTTCCCGTGGCCCTACCAATAACGGAGAGAAGGAACATCGGTGGGGTTTAGTGGGTATCCGGATGCCCTTCAGGCGCCGGGAGCCCCACATACCACAGGGGGAAGTTTATAACCCCCACGCCCCGTGTGCATGCAATTCAATGCATTCACCATCGAAAAAAAAAAGAATGGTAGATAAATATTGGACTAAGTCCTATTATTATAATTAGAGCTACACGCGAGCGCATCTTTATAAATTTATAATAATAACACCCAAGACTGCTGCTGAACTAGTATCAAATGAGCCCACCCATTCAAGCCCACGCATCGTTGTAGCGAGACCAGTTTATAAGTTATACGTATTTTGTATAAAACCTTGTATATTACATGCAATATTTTGTAATTTCATGTAATTTTTTCCTTTTACTCATATTTTTTAAATATTATCTGGACCGAAATGTAATGTTTTTTGTAGATTGATATGCAGAAGTAAAATTATTTTATTCGTAAATAAAGTAGTTTCTGTATTTTTTTTTTTTTTTTTTTTGGATTTTTGTATTAAAATATCCTACGTCTCTCCACAGTTAAACAAAAACTGGAAGAGATTTCTATCTCCTGTAACAGACCAGTTTTCTAATGGCATACTTAATAAATCTTTATAATCTACTCAGTAGTCTGTTAAAGCTATAGGTCGCCACTCAAAAAACATTACAAGATACAAATATTACAGAATAAAAGGCATCTTAACACATAACAAAAAGGTCAAAACTGAAAACTCTGCATTTAAACCAAACCCTTTTTTGGAACAGAGTAATTTTGCTAAAGTATTGAAATACTGTAAAATATTTTTTTTGGGAAGAAATAACTATAGACCATTAGGGAAGCGTAGAACCTTTGAACAGGAGTATATACAGATATCTTACATTAAAAATAACACAAATTTAATAGGCTTAACAAAAGTACTGCTAACAGCAGATTTACTTTTTAAAATAGGAATGAGGAACCTAATAATGTCTTAAAGATACAGGGAAACATGTAGAGTAATTTTGTGAACAGATTGTTACGACCTTTTAAAACGACCAAGTTCAGGCAATTAAGAGAATGAAAGATAAAACTACTAAGATTTTTTTATTTATTTTCTTACATTTCTTACTAAATTTTACCAGCTAACACATAATCAAATTGAAATATTTTGAATACCATATTATAGTAACCAAGCATTATATTATACGTAAATAAAGCATATAATAAATCTATTCAACTTAGAAAAAAGTACTTTTGTGGTTATAAAGATAATATTAAAATACTCATTTCTTGTTATGTTATTTGTTGCACTAGCTTTGAAACAAACTTATTCTGACGCTCCAACTTCTTAACTTTCTTCGAGGATTTCTTTTTAGTGATTAGTACATTTCTCTGGATTCTACCTTCTAATGTCTGCGATGTAATTGTATTTAATCGTTTTAGTTATACTTAAAGTTTCATACGAGAAGCTAAATAAGTTCATAATTTATTATAACTGCCTTTAAATTCACAGTTTGGAATCGAGATGTTTTTGATGCGGACCTATATAAATTAATTATTTAAATTGTTTTTCACGGGTGTAATTTATAAATATACATATTATATATATTTATGTGACCATAGTATTCACCTGTTAATTAATTATATATCCAAATCATATTTCATGTAAGAATGACGTTTGAAAAAGACGTTATCTTCATAGTAATGAAAAATTTCACATTCAGTCACCCTGTCAATGATATAATCAAATAGTTGGTGACCTGGAAATGAAGTATGAAGAGCTATGTTATCACCAATTTGATTTCAGAATACGAACAAAAGCCTATCTTGAATATCTAATGAGGATAAAAATTATTTTCAAACGGAAAAATATGATTTCGTGATTGAAATTTATGAAAATGTGATTCTGATTTTGGAACCTATTAACATCAGATTCTGTTTAAAAAAAAGAAATAATTTTTATCATGTCTATTTGGGCTTATTTCTACAAAAAGTCATATTGAATCACGTAAGTATGAATTTATGAAATCAAATGGAAGAGAAATTCTTTAAATAACTAAACCATTACAGAATAATTTCATGTGGAAAAATCCTTATGGGAATTATAATCACTTATAACAGGAAATGATTCCTAGTTGCAAGTAGCTTTAAAGATAACAATAATAAACCTTAACGGTTGTTTACGAGACACAATCTTACACCCTTCGAAGTTTAGCTAAGCGATCACGTCCTTAATATTTAAAAGCACTTACTTTGCAAAATAAATGATTACTTGTATTTGTGATCTCGTTAAGATAAGGAGCAAAGTTTCGGCCGATTTCCTGGAATAAGGACTGAATTAAATGAGTTTAAAAATAACGTTTGTCGCGTTTGGGTGTAGATCTATATAGTTTATAGGACTTGTTTATATTTCCTCATCAAATTCTTTTCCAATTAAAACGTGTGAAAAGTGCCGAATACAAATAAAAATATTATAAATATTCCGTATACTTTTTAGATGTTAAAACAGTAGATCTTTTTGTTATTTTATCGAATAAACTTCTTGATAGTCGAGCGCCTGATACTACTGAATTCAGTGAAAAAACTTTTATTCCAACTTTCTTATCTCATGTTTTATTTACAGAATAAAAACTGTAAATTAATCTTATTCCAACAAAGTCCAAAGCACTTACTGTCACAGCTGGACAAGTTTTTCGGCTCTTCTTTGATATATTCCTCTTATGCCCGTCCACTTTTTATACATGTAAAAAACAGAACATTTTATTAAAACCACATTTTTATTAAAAACATAAAGTATATTATTACATTCAGTCCTGCACACTGCTTTATTTTTGTATCTCCGAGTTTTATCTTTACATCTAAAATGTTTAATCAGTCTATAAGTCAGTGGTGGTCTAGTGGTTAAAGGCCCGCCTCTCATGAATGAGGGCGCGGATTCGATCCTGGCAAGTACCAATGTGATTTTTCCGAGTTATATGTACTTTCTGAGAGTGTTTAGACACCACTGACAGACGGTGAAGGAAAACATCGTGGGGAAACCTGGACTTATAATTACCAAAAAAGGGTTGATATCAGGCAGGCGGCTGGTCGTAAAAACAATTAGCCCAAACCTTTTTACAACATGTAAGACTGACCCTGGCTTATGCTGGGAAATTTCCAGGAAGAAGAAGAAGATCTAATTAGATGAAAGACCTTAACTAAGAGGGTAAAGCATATAAGCATTATATAATACGAGAGAAATCAAAACATTTCACATATTGTAAACCTTTTGCTAAACCTTACAATAAATATGGTCAAAACCTTCTTTTATTAAGCTTTATTGCTTAAACTATCACTTTTGAATCAATTACATAATGATGACAACCAATATTATATAATGAAAATATAAATAATGTAATAAAAATAAGAATCTCGAACCTATCCCCTAGCATAAAATAATTTCACTGTATATAAAAGCTATTTTATAATTGCTTTTATTGAAAGATTAACCATGATTAACTAAATGTATATAATCTATTTTTGCAATTATAAATTTACTAAAGTTCGGTTCTCATTTTAAATTCCACTCTTACAAGTTTTCGACTCTCTAGCTCACAGTAAAAAGTAGCAAAACCGCAATTAATTGATTAACTCATTCTGTTACACAACTCTTTTGTCCGGATTTAATGCACGAAAGGAATATTTGAAAGAAATGAGTCAAGGGTTTTCTCATGATAAGAATTTATCACAAGATGTATGAAGAAGTAATTTTACATATTTGATTTCATTGGGATATATGTAATATACATATATATTATGTATATACCAGTGGTTAGACATAGGAGATTTTTGCATTCCACTAGCACTAAAATGGCGCACCCTAATTCATGACTGGTCGCCAGCCTTGCTAAAATTTTATCTCAATGCGTTCCAGATGACTCTCCCAGATCAGAGTAATTTAGTAAGATGGGGTAAAGGTACCGATAAAACCTGCTATATCTGCGGAAAGGCAGTTGGAACTGCCAAGCATTTGCTGGTGGGATGTAAGGTTCTCCTGGACAGCGGTCAATACTCGCGTCGTCACGATAGGGTTTTAGAGATCATACGTGAAGCGGTTAGTCTTTCGGTAGCCAGAGCGCAAAGGGAAATAACCACAAACGAGCGATCAATAGGTTTTGTGAGAGAGGGCACCAGGGCTATAAAATCAAACGTCAAGCCTTACTCTATCCTTAAAGCGGCTTCGGATTGGACTATCATGATGGATACGTATGAGAAACAATACAAAATCCCCGAGGATATTTGTGCGTCGGCCTCCAGACCAGACATATTTCTATATTCGCGTATTTTAGGTGGTAGAGCCTAGCTGTGGTTAGTTACTACAGCTCGAACACGGGCTGGCTCGACCGGGGAAGTACCACCCTCTCACAGAAGATCGGCGTGAAGTAGCCTTTAATGGCTGCGTTTCGTCCGATGAGTGAGAGAGCCGGTTGCCCTTTCCCTATTCCCACCCTTTCCTACAATATCCTTATTCCCACCCCTCCCTATCCCTATAAAATAAGGTTGGCAACGCATCCGCAACATCTTTGTTGCGGATGTAAATGGGCGACGGTAACCACCTTCCATCAAGTGGGCCGTCTGCTCGTTTGCCACCTTTGACATAAAAAAAAAAAAAAAAAAAATTTTAAAGCGCGTTGTGATGATAGAGCTTACGGTGCCTTGGGAAACCAACATCCCCAAAGACCATGCCATCAAGGTCAATAAGTATTACGAGTTCACTAACGAACTAACTCGAAATAGGTTCGTCGTTGATTTGTACGCGGTAGAGGTGGGAGCGAGAGGTATAACAGCTAAATCTCTCTATAACCTACTAAAAGACTTGGGCCTGTCCAGAACTAACATTAATTCATTCTTAGAACGTACGTCGAAGGCAGCCCTAGTAGGTTCTTTTCAAATTTGGTTAGGTAGGGAGAGGAACTTGGACAGTGGAGGTGAGCGTATAACGCGCGTTAGTTAAGGGGCCCCTTAAACCTACACCTGGGTCGCAAGTCCCAGGCACTGTTGAAGCTCCTCTCCCTGCAACGCGATGGACCCGGCACCCGCACGATGAATCCATTGAATGCTAAGAGGTTTCGTCTCGTCTCTATACATACATATAAATATGTAATATACATATATATATTATGAACTAATGTTATGCATTCTAAAAGACTTTAAATTGTTTCTGCTAATAATAATTTCCCATTACCTTTGAACAGTAAAGCAAAGCAAAGCAAAGAGAAACATAAAAACATTGGATCGACAAAAATTTATTTACTTTATTAAGAAGTTTTGACATAAAAAAATATTAATAATAAATAAAAATATACAATACATTGAAAATAAACTGTATAAAAACTACCTCTTTGTCACTATCCTTATTAACATACTGGAATAATATTGGGCATTATAGAGAGACCAACTTGTAATTAAGATCCTTGTTAAGTTAATAAACAATACAAAGTCACAAATAATGCGATCTACTATACTCCTTTCACAAACTATCTGTCACTATTAAGAGATAAAATACGGCATAACCAATCTCGTGTGAAAAGAGAAAGGGACTTTAATAGTAAGGCAAATAAATAATATTTGTCTCTTTAAAATTGTAATTTCATTTTATGAATTTATTGTTCGCTTAAACATACAAAAAAAATGTTGGTGTTATAAGAATGTTGTCCTTTTATATCTTTTAAAGTTTATTTATGATATAAAACAATTATAAACATAATGATTTTTATAGTAAAAACGAACATGATGAAACTTATTGTGACGTTGTGATTTAAATGTCACTTCAAACAATATCAACATTTGCCTTACATTCTATGAGTGAGAGTCACAAAAGTGTTGACTATTTATATAATATCCCTAAATCCCTAGACGTCCTTTGCTATACATACTAAATTCATTCGAAGATTTGTTTTGAGTGAAATTACATTAGGATTTATTAAAAAAATCTTTTTAAAGAGACTACGAGGAACGACAAATTTTAACTTTTAATTTTTGGAGATCTATTTATTATTACACGTTAATATTATTTGTGACAATATGGAAACATATTGAGTATACCGAATTCACTAGACATTTGGATCAAATAACAGTCAGGGCCGAAATTAAATGGTCCAGTCAATCACACTTCCAACTTGGATACGACTCTTACATCAATTAAAGAAATAACCATCATACATATCCATCACACTGTTATATTTTTTACTAAAGAAGGCAACCCATACAATGCAATATTTTAGACGTATTTTTGTCTGGTACTCAAAGTAAAACTTAAATTGCTCAACATAAAATGTACAAAGACAATCATATAAAACTATCCCTAACTTCTATAATATTCTTTATATCAGTTATGGTATATGCAAAGTATGATATTTCTTAGTAAAATAGGATTTCTAAACCTACATAAGATTAAAGCTAGATATTACTAAGCACCTAAGTGCTTAGTAATAACTTGCTATTGAAACTAAGCAATTGGTAAATCAAAATACCCTTTATAACATTTTCTTAGTGGCTATGACAAGCATTCTTCCAACTACATAATTAATGGCAAAATGTTAACTAAAGCAAAATTATTTATGACACCCAAATTCATGACTCTTTGTAAAAAGATTCTAGATTTCTGAACAAATTTTAAGTGAAGGGGTATCATGAAAGATAATTACTAAGTTTAGCTTATTTGTATTCCAAAATCAATAAGTTAATGGGTAAGCATCCTTATAACCTGAAAGAACTGTTTTCATTGTGTTTTATTATCAAATTCTTTTATATTTGAACTACATATTTTCCACCGACTTGAGAAAAGGAGGAGGTTATCAATTCATACATTTTATTTTGTTTTTCAACGTATTACTTTCGCCTGGAAGGAGCGACTTCAATGATTCGTTTCCTGTCTTCCTTTGTTGGTTTTTAAAGGCGGTTTTTTTAAACTAAATTTATTTTCCAATCGCTGAACGTTACGAACGTTCCAAAAGTAGTATAGACAAGATTTAGGGGTGAGGATTATTATATTATTGCAGAATTTGGGTGTTTATTACAGTATTTCCATTTTAATATTCTTAAACTGCTACATATACATATATTATTCATGTTTTTTGAGAAACAGTGTTTATGAGGTTTATTTTATAAAAATTCAATTTGAGAAGTAAAATATTTATGTCATAAATGTGCTATTATAAAAAGTGATCTTAAAAATATATACTTTGGTAATCTCTGAGCTCATTACTGTCTAAGTTCTAGGTGATCGTAATTTGCAATAATTTTTACTCAAATCACAAAAGTTATTTACTTACAAAACATCTAATATATATCAAGTTTCTAAGTTAAGTCGTTAATTATATTTAACTTCAAAGAACTCCTACGCCTTTCTAAATTAAGATCATATACCGCTTTAATATATGCAACATTTGCACCTATATTTAAATTCGACGGACGATCTTATTATTGAAAACTTAATACTTATTTGATAGTATAGAAAACTATATGGATTACAAAACATGGAAATAAAGAGCGTTTGGATTGGAACCAAAAAAAAATTATAAACTTTTGTAAAGGTCTAAGGTAATATTTCTTTGAGTCTTATAAATAATTAAGAACATTAATTGCAGGAGTATTTATTAAGAATACGATTCTACTTTTTAGTACATATGTTCTTCTAAACATGTTGATGTTATAAACTAAACATTTTATAGGTTTCCTTAACATAGCAAAATTAATACTTTAACAAAGGCTAAAATACAATGATTAAATGGATTTAAACCATAAATTGAGTAAAAATAGATAAACATTTTTTTTTAATCCTTCTCATTCCGTAAGTATTTAATTAGCACGTAGACTTTAATTAGACATCTTCATCGTCATTTGAGCCTAGTGCTATATCTAAAAAAACTATTATACAGCTGCGTGCAAAAGTATTAGGCACCCCTATTGTTAGTCACTATCTCATTAGATAGCGGTCAAGTGTGTGTTTTATGGTTTAGCTATTGTATTAGCGGCAATTTTTAACCAAATTAAGATAAAAGAAAATATTTATGACATGCAAGTGTGCTCCTAAGCGGTGTTTCTTCGAATTTGCTTTTTTTGCGTTTCAGGTTATAGTGTGTTATCAGTGCTTGCAGTGAACATACACGTCTTCTACGCAACTATTCCTATCACAATTTTAAAGACTAACATTCAACGTGTTAATCATGCCGAAAAAATCTGAACTTAGTGCTGAACAGCGTCTAAGAATTAAGATTTTACATGAACAAGGCATGTCTCAGGTTAAAATAGCCCGAGAAGTGAAGTGCTCGCGATGTGCAGTTCAATATCCTATAAATCGCTTCAAAGAGACTGGCACCCATGAAAATAGACCAAGAACAGGCAGAAGAAAAGTTACTACTGAACGGGAAGATCGATTGTTGATTAGGCAGTCTCTACAAAACAGGAAAACAACTGCTTTAGAGCTTGCTGCAGCATTATCTGAGGCAAAAGGCAGCTCAGTGAGTATTTATACTGTGAGAAGAAGACTTTTTAAAGCTGGATTAAAAGGATGCAAAGCAAGGAAGAAGCCGTGGCTGTCAGAACACAATAAGAAAAATCGGTTGGAGTGGGCACTCAAACATAGAGATTGGTCAGTGGAAGATTGCTCCAACATACTGTGGTCAGACGAATCTAACTTTGAGGTATTGTTATTTATTTTATGTACAATATTAAAACACATAAATGTTTTTAAAATTACGTACTGCAAGAAAAATAATAACTTTGAAAATAAATGGGTTTTGGCACAGGTAATTATTAACATCTTAACAATACTCCTTGAGTTTTCATTAAGTTATATTGATTTGTTCTAGCTTCCAATATCATATAGACACATTATACAGCTACATTATAGCCAGGAACTACAAAGAAACTTTGTACAGTAATCACACTTAGAGTTTATTTGGGAACTGGTTGGATATAATAGCCAACAGATACATATATTCTTATAATCAAAAGCTAAGGTTAATTCGTATATTAAATAGTAAGGTAAGATTTTACTTTTTAAAAAAGAAAAAAATTACTTAAAACTTATAATTAATAATTAACAGATAATAATAATATCCTATATTATTTATAATTAATGAAATTTGAAAGTTCCTTTACTAATTAATGAAACACGACAATTTTTGTTATTGAGAATTTCCAAAAGTCTTTTAATTGCTCTTAAAATTCAATTACAACCCACCATTACTACCACATAAGATTCTTGTGGGCTACAACCTTATTTGTTTCAGGCATTTTCTAAGACTTTTTGCGTCAAAGTAAATAGTTTTCTTATTTACGCACTGGATAGTCTTGTTTTTTCTGTATAACTTATGTCTGATTTTGTTTGTCCTAAGTTAACTATTTACTTTAAGCCGGCTGTCTAGTTCATTTCTAATATAGTGTAGTTTTTCTAATATAGTGTATCTATATCTATGGTCTAGTTGCTAAAGTCAATATTTGATACGAGTGATGGAATGTTCCATTATGAAAATATATAAAAAGGCAAAATTAAATTCTGGGAAAGACAGTAACTCTACGTCTCATTTCAAGGTTGATTGAATGGGAAAATACTATAAAATTGCTTTCGAAAAATGTCTATTGCGTTGTGTTATATTCTAAATAATAAATTAAACCAAAAATGTAGTAAATATTGTATATGATTTAGTATATAATTCTTTGTAAATATTATTGCATACATTAAAAGTGGGATAACA